TTCAAGATTAAAAAGGTGTACTCGAAGGATGCCCAGGATGGTAAGTTTTCACGAAGGCTGTTTCCTTGGGAGGGGATCCATTGGAGGGAACGAGGGAATGAGGAATAAAACGAAGATGCAGGTAAAGCCTGCAAAAGGGGTTTTCATGGTAGGTCTCCATAGCGCGAGCAGAGCTTGACTTGTGGGGAAGAGCCCCTAGCTATGTTCGCTCAGAGTCAGCTCTAAATACATGCTTTTTTCCATGCCCTTCAGCACCCATTTAGGGAGGCTCTCCTTTTTCCGGTGTCCCCCACTGTTTCTTCATATATCAAATGAAGTGCTTAATGAACACGTTTGGTTTTATAAGAAACTCAAGCCCGTAGAGCAGTATGAGGTTAACAATAGCTCCGGGTGAAAGAACACATTTTCTAAACCCTGCAGACCTCCGCACACACACACCTCTCCAGTTATGGACACCCACACTGGAGCGGTAGTTTTGCTTGGGAAATGAGCCAAGATTGACATTTCACAGTCACAGTCACCCAAAGCCCACAGTCTCCATCAGGGCTCACTGTTGAGGGTAGGACATTCTGTGGGATGGAAACGTGTGATGGCACGAACCCGCCATGACAGTATCACCCAGAACCCGCCCCCCCAGACCCTGGAAGCTAACACGGGAAAAAGGGGGGGGATAGGCGGGCCATTTCCAAAATCTCATAAGGTTGAAATAATATCCAGTTACTCCCTGCTTAAAGAAAAAAAAAAAGGTCCCCTCCCTGTGGGGGGGGGGGGGGGGGGGGAGCAGTAAACGACCCTGGGATCAGACACCCTCATTTAAACCCAGAAGAGGCTGCCCAAGGGACTTCTACCCATGTGACCCAGAGAAACCAATCACGAAACGAAGTCGCCGGCTGCGGCGCCACACACGTGAGAACATTCACGCAGCCGTTTTTATTTATTCAACTATAAAGGCTGATTGCAGCAATTTTTTGATGGGTAACACCTCAGATTTACATGAATCATATTGCTATAAATTTGGTTCAGGATCAGAACAGGATTCAGAAAATGGGGAATACAAACAAACAAATCTCCGAACGCTAAAACAGAGAAATACTTGTTTTTTGTTTTTTGTTTTTTTTAACTTGAATTAAATGCTACTTTCCCATAGACTTCCCTAGACTGGTTTGCAGTCTAAGGCACAGGAAACAAGGCTTCGGGCGCTGTGAAGGAACCGCAGGTCACGATGTGGCTCCTGGTAGGAGGCTGAAACCCTGCCGTGCGTCGGGCCTCGGGCAGAATCCTCACACAGCCCCAGTGCGCTCTGCTTTTCACCACTGTGTGTCCCCTCAGTGCTGCACATGCCCTCTCGCCACCTCTCCCACTCAGGCTGCTGTTTGCTGGGGACCCGCAGGCACCTTGGCTTCTGCTCAGGTTGCCGAGGTGACAGGACAAGCTCTGACCCCTCCTCCTGCGGCGGGCTCGGCCATGGACCCACCCAAGTGAGGCCTCTTTGGACACCTGGAAGACCTGGTACACCGGGGAGAACGCTGCACCCTTGGGAAGCCTGGCAATTGTTTCCTCTGATTCCTGGTGGAAATGGCCAATCAGAATCAATCTGTATCACTGGGAAAGGGCGAGGGAAAAAAACAGCTTCCCCTCCAAAAATGATAAAGAAATAGCAGAGAAGAAACCAAAAATACTTAGAATGGCACAAAAAGTGATATGCATAAACTTCTTTTGTTATTAAATCTAACTGTAAATTTCCTAAAGTCCAGTTATCAGTTGAACTGTATGGGAGAGAAGAGTGAGGCCCACTGTGCTGCCCTCAGGAGTTCATGGCTTCAGGCTGAGAGGCCCTGGGTCTGCGCTGGGGAAGCCCCTTTTTGAACGTGGGCTTGGGCGGGCCAGGCTCCATGCTGTTCCCTGCAGAGTGAGCTGGGCCCCGTTCGCTCGTGTTTCCTGGTGCCGGGGGAGGAGCATTCTGATACCTGGAACCCGAAGAATACCATGAGCTATTTCTGTAACGACCTGCACTGTCGAGTCGCCCTTGGCTGGCTGGGTCACTGGACTTCTGGCCTGGTGGCCTGTAGCCTGGTGCTCCTCGCCTGTTTCCTGGAAATACCTACGGATAAAAGAACAGGACGTTCAAGGTGCATGGTGTTTGCTCCAGGTAAGCGTTGAGAACTATTCTGGAAGCATAACTGTGGTCTCCCAGGCTTGGGACTCATCCCCCCTGCGACTCGTGGAATCCAGTTAGCCAGCCTGGCCGAGCCACAGCACCACTCCCTCATCCTCCCCGTCTGTCACTCCTGGCTCCTCGATGAGGACGCGTTCACTTCCTCAGCTGGCCATGAGAAGGAAGCTAAGGACGAAGGATGGATGTTGTTTGGGTTGTTCTGCGCCCTCAAACAGACCATTTTCTCACGTGAAGATGGTGAACATGTGGAAAATGGAGGGAGTGTAGGCGCTCTGCTTTGCTGTCAGTCGTGCTGCTGAGCCCCTTGCCCCGTCTCTCACAGAGCAGCCAGAGCATACGACATGGGACTCTGCTAGCACTCCTAACCCCAGCATCCTAGGAATCATGGACAGCACCGCCCTGCACCGCCCTGTGTCTTCTCCTCAAACCGAGGAACACAAAACGATGGATTCCTTTTCCACGTACCTGTGTCCACTCCCTACCCCCACCAGGAGCTGCTGCTTTCCTCTGCAGGCTCCTGCCCCTGCCCCTGTGTGCTTATCTGCTTTGAGAAGGCTGCACGACTCCCATTGTGACAGATCACCAGGCAATGCTACCTGCACAGCTAGGACCACTGCCGGCGTAGCAGAGCAAAGTCTGCAGCTCTTGGCAACAGGAAGTCGAACCCGGCTGGTTTGGATGAACTTACCGAATGCTTTCCTATTCTCCAGCTGGGCTGGAGAGACTTAAAATGGGAATAAAGAGAAGGGGTGATAAACTAAGCTACCAGCATTTAAGACAAGCTGGTGCCTATCCAAACATGCTTAGTGTGGAAGCCAGGTTACCTCCCGATGAGGCAGGTAGGGGCGGCCACCGGAGTTTGCTGTGGCTGCAGGAGGCTCTCCTGGTGCCGAGTTTTTCTTGTTAGCACCTGTAAGGCCAGGAGCAGAGGCACAGGTGGAGGAAACAGTAGAAGTGTCGCTTGGGCTCCCCAGGGATGCCAACGTCACTGAGCTACACCGGGATCTGGTTGAATAGCTGTTCTTTGGATGAGACACTAGAAAAGAACATGAGGAAGTCGTGGTCAGAAAGTGGAACAGCATGAGGGCAGGGGTTACCTTCCTTCTCTACCTCACAGTGAGCAATTTAAGGTCAAGAGCTGTCTGCTCAAGTCACAGAGAAAAACCTACAAAATGTGTCCACAGGAAGGATCATCTCGGCTGCCTTCTTCCTTCACTCCCTGCAGACCCCCAGGGCTTTGTAAAGGGACTGACACTGTGCTGCAGGGGGTGAAGCCATGGCCTGTGGTGTCGGCATCCGTGTGGGAACTGGTTCATGCCCCGGATGCTCCACCTCCGATCCAGCTTCCTTCTAAGGGCCTGGGAAAAGCAGGAGAGGATGGCCCAAGTGCTTGGGCACCTGCCACCCACAGGGGAGAGCCAGATGAAGTTCCTGGCTCCTGGCTCCGGCCTGGCCCAGTGCTGGCTGTTGCGACTGTCTCAGGAGTGAATCAGCGGATGGAAGATCTTTCTGTCTCTCCCTCTGTAACTGACTCCAAAATAAATAATGAAAAAGGAGAACTGTTTGAGATGGAAGTGACCCATCCCCCTACTGACTAATTACTTTCTTGGCATCTCCTACTAGTACCTAAGCTCCTGGTTACAGCTCCAGCAGCTGACTAAGCCTGGGAACAATACTATGAGCCATATGTTCGGTTTCCTATGCAAGGAACATTTTAAAGTACAGACTTTGCAAGGAAAAGAAAAGGTAAATAAATCAAATTTCTGCTAAAATTAAAGAAAAAAATCTGAATGATGCAAGGTGTAAATAATCAAGATCAGTTAAATATGAACACAAATACTCTTTACAACAAACATGTATCTTGCCAAATTTCTTTTGCAAAAATAACCCCCAAATCCAAAATACCAACACACTGAAAAAACATTAATATTTTAATTCAAATTGTGTCAGAATTCAATGGTTTAGAGCTACACTTCAGATTTTGTTCTTGGCTTTGTGCCTGGACGATTTCTGCCCTCAGTCTGCATTCATTTGTGTACTGGGAACCAAGGACTGGGTTCAGAGCTTGAGCACTGCCACTGCGAATGCCCCTCTCAGAGCCACAGCCTCACCCTTCAGTGCTGTTTTCTCTTTCATCTGAGAGACAGAAAGAGCTCTCATCTGCTCTGTTTACTCTGCAGATGCCAAAGCCCGGGGCTGGGAACTTGCTCCAGTCTCCCACGTGGGTGGCAGGGCTCTAACAACTGGAACCCTCATCTACTGCCTCCCAGGGTGCTCATCAGAAGGAGCTGGGCCCAGGCGCTCCAGTGTGGAGGCAGGGGACCCTGTGGGGTCTTGAACACTAGGCCACACCCCATTCCCCCCACCCCTAAGGCAGGCAGTGTTGCCTCCACGCTGAAGGAAAGTGGAACGAGCCTCCTCAGGAGGGGAGCGCAGAGGCGGATTCCGACCTGGCTCAGGGCTGCAAGCTCTGCACACTACATCATGCCCCTCTCAACGCAGGGGGCAAACAGTGGAAAAAGCCAATATTGTGTTAGGAAGCTGGCCAATACTCAACCTCAGAGCTCAAAGCATCTGCATCCAGGGACTGCCTCAAGAACCCTGGAATTACTGCTCATTAAATAAATAAATAAATAAATAAATAAATAAAAGCTGAGGAACCAGCAGTGAAGGGTCCATCAGTCCACCTGTCTCTAATGAAGACATCTCGAGTGCTCGTAGGCCTCAACAGCTCACCTTGTCCAAATGAATCGATGCTCTTCTTCAGGGTCTCTACATCACAGGTGAACCGGGCCACTCGTCCCAGATCCTCGTCGTACTTCCGCTCACTAACAAAATGCTGGAGAAGGGGCAAAGAAAGGCCTCTGGGTTAGACAGCCACACACTGAATCTGTAACTTACCAGATACATAAGAAATGGAATTTTTTTTAGAAGATTTATTTTATTTAAAAGGCAGAGTGACACAGGCAGAGAAGGAAGGAAGGAAAGAAGGAGAGAGAGAAAGACAGAGAGGGAGGAAGGGAGGGAGGGAGGGAGATAGATAGATCTTCCATCCTCTGATTCACTCTCCAAACAGCTGCGATGGCCAGGGCTGGGCTGGGTCAAAGTCAGGAGCCTGGAGCTCCACCTAGGTCTCTCATGTGGGTGGCAGGGGCCCCAGCACTTGGGTCATTCCCTGCTGCTTTTCCCAGGGGCATCAGCAGGGAGCTGGATTGGAAGTAGAGCAGCTGGGACTCACACTGGCACTCTAATATGGGATGCTGCTGTTACAGATAGTGGCTTAACCTGCTGTGCCATGATGCTGGCCCCAGAATTATTTGCTTATTTACAAAATATTTTACTTACTTATTTACTTACTTGAAAGAGTAAAAGTGAGTGTGAGAAAGATCTTTGATTTGCTGTTTACTTCGCAAATGGCTATAACCACCTGGCCTGGGCCAGGCTGAAGCCAGAAGCTATAGATCTCCCCCTCATCACTGCTGAGTAACTGAACAAACTCACTCATTTTTCTCAAGTCCAAAGATAAGTCTGAGAGTTTATGAAATGTTGTGCCAAGGCCCAACAGAGAAGGGAAGGGGGAGATCTATAGCAGGGGTCATCTTCCCACATTGGCTGTCCTTGACACTTGCTCATTCATTTGAACAGCAGACCGAAAGAGTATGTACTCCCTTCCACTGGTTCACTCTCCAAATGCCTACAATGGCTGGGGTTAGGGCAAAGCTGAGGCTGGGAGCTGGGAATATAATCCAGGTCTCCCACCCGGGTGGCACTGACCCAAGCATTTGAGTCCACTGCTGCTTCCTGGGGTCTGCATTAGTCAGAAGGCAGCGTGAGGACTCACACCCAGGCACCTCTAACACAGGATGAGGGCAGTGTCTTCCCATCCCGTTCCATTTCATTTATTTACTTATTTTATTATTTTCCTTGGAAGCCCACCTTCTGTCTTTATCAGACAGGATTTCTTAGTCCTTTAAAGAGGAACAGCTTCTGGACCACTTTGCAAATGACAAGAGTTTACCCGGCAAGTGGTTTTAACCTTTTCAGTAGACAGAACTGAGAAAGAACCAACTTAACCTTGGGTCAAAAACTACTCTACAGAAACACGTCAGGAAGAGAGGGTTTCTGGGGGCCTATCTCAGTAAATACAGCCTGAGGTGGCTTGGAGTCATTTTATTTCAGATGGAAAGGAAGTGAAAAAGAAATGTTAACCTAGGTATAATTTGGAAGAACTGCTCCTTAGAGCAGGCCTCTTAACAGGAGGCGGACTACTCCCACTCTGACTGCATCACATCCAGAGTGCTGACAGGGAAAGCAAAGGGAAAAATTACCTCTGCGCCTAAGGCTCCAAAGCTTTAGAGTACACCGTGGCTCAGGAAGGCACATGAACTCTTGTAACAAAGCCTTCAGATATGTAATATCAGTCTGAGATTAATTTGAAACAAATTCTAGGGTCTGTTGTGCCAAAGACATAAAAGGAATGCCAGAAATAAGATGATGTGGAAGTAAGACATTTAAACCACACAGCACACACTTCAGTACACTGAAAGCAGGGAGAGAACCAGATCCTTAGTCAGCCTACAAAGTATTTCTAGCAGCTTTTCAGCCACGTGGGTAGGGGAACAGATGAAGCCGCCAAGAGCCAGAATTCTCATCTCATTCCAGAGGGTTTCCGGCTTCTCCTAGAGAGTTGAATGAGACTGACTGGCATCAATGCAAGGAAGGATATCTATAACATTTAGTAATATAGTTTTAGTTAAACAGAAAATAGTCATTTACAATTTACACTGTTCGGCTACTTTACCCTAAGACAGTCTGAGGGGAGGGAATGAGAGAACAGGAACACGCCATAGATGTCTCATACACCGAGCTGGAATACTAACAAGGGTCCTGGTAAGGTGCCAGGTGTTCTTCCACCTGTGCTTCTATTTTACAAAGGTTATCTTGTCAGCCCCCACAGCAAGCACCCCTCTCAAATATGGCAATAAATCGTTATTCTCTTTCATGTATTGTCTGACACGGCAGAGTTGACAGTGAGAGAGAGAGACAGAGAGAAAGGTCTTCCTTTGCCGTTGGTTCACCCTCCAATGCCCGTCACGGCCGGCGCACCACGCTGATCTGATGGCAGGAGCCAGGTGCTTATCCTGGTCTCCCATGGGGTGCAGGGCCTAAGCACTTGGGCCATCCTCCACTGCACTCCCTGGCCACAGCAGAGAGCTGGCCTGGAAGAGGGGCAACCGGGACAGAATCTGGCGCCCCGACCGGGACTAGAACCCGGTGTGCCGGCGCCGCAAGGTGGAGGATTAGCCTAGTGAGCCGCGGTGCCGGCCGCAATAAATCTTTATGTTCAGGAAGAGCAGAGGTTAAGGGCTCAGGAGCAAAGAAGGTCGACTCCCCTTGCTCATACAGCTTGCAGCTTATACACAATTATTTAGAACAGCAGTGTCCACAACCATCCATGAACGTGCCAGTCTCTCTCTTGCTCACATGCCTGGTCTCAGAAACGCTGTTCTTTATGTAAGAATTTAAAATGTGGGCCAGCACTGTGGCATAGCAGGTTAAGCAGCCATCTGCAGTGCCAGCAGCCCACATGGGTGCTGGTTTAAGTCTCAGCTGCTCCACTTCTGATCCAGCTCCCTACAAAATGTGCCTGGGAAAACAGCAGAAGATGGCCCAGGTCCTTGGGCCCCTGTACCCACATGGGAGACTTGGATGAAGCTCCTGGTTCCTGGCTTTGACCTGGCACAGCCTGAACCATTGTGGCCATTTGGGAGTGAACCAGCAGATGGAAGATCTCTCTTTCTCTGTCCCTCTCTCTAACTCTGCTTTCAAATACATAAACAAATATTAAAAAAAAAAATTTAGAATTGACTGTTGAACTCAAGCAATCTTTATACTATAATCAGCATCTCAGATTGTTTATCTTCTCTGTTAAATCACAACAGACCCACTACTGCTTTCTGTGCCAGGCACTGAGGATGCAGTGGTCCCTGCCGTTGTGAACTCATAGCCTGAGGGAAGACAGACTAATGAAAACGCACGGCACGAAGATCAGGACTGCTGTGAAAGCACAGGAGGGGTGGCTGTCAGGAGTCGGCAGACGGGCAGGCCCACAGGGAGGGAGCAGGAGTGGACTCCGTCTGCAGGAAGGAGAGGCTGAGGTGGTTGCAGCGGGGATGAGGAGTTGGGCCTGCTGTGAAACAAGAGCAGCGGCAGAGCCCGGGAATCAGTGTGGAGGACTACAGTATTAATCCTAGTGCACTGGGAAGTGTGAAATAGGCTACTGCATGCTGAGAGTGCAGGAGTGGGCTGCTCCACTTCCGATCCAGCTCCCTGCTAATGCGCCTGGGAAAGTAGCAGAGGATGAACCAAGTACCTGAGCCCCTGCCACACATGTGGGAGACCCGGATGAAGCTCCTGGGTCCTGGTTTTGGCCTGGCCCAGCCCTGGCCTTTGTGGTCATCTTGGAGAGTGAGCCAGCAGATGGGAGATCTCTCTGTAACTCTGTCTTTCATATAAAATGAATAAATCTTAAAAAAAAAAAAAGAGAGAGAGAGGCTGACACGAGTCCAAGAACATTCTGGCAGCTTCATGGGATGATGGAGGTGGTGGTGAAGAGAAAAGGCCAGAGCCAAGGTTCAGAAGGGGTCAAGTGCACAAGGCCTGCTCCAGAGTGAGCACTGGGGAAACGGTCTAAGGCCCCAGCTGGGACAGCTACACAGACAGCAGTGCCACTCACAGAAAGGAGGCCTGTAAGAGGGTCAGGTGTGCTGGGGGAGGGTCATGAGGTCACCTTATCCAGCATGGCCATGAATTATGCAGACTTGCTGCATTAGCCCTTGAGAGGAAGAAGAAAGGCAGAAAGGAGAAGGAAGCTTTACCTTGATATCAGCTCTGAGCTCAACCAGTTGCTCCTCTGACATTCGAACAGCCACATCAGTCATCTTCTTCAGAAGTTCCGCTTTCTTTTGTCGGCTGAGCAAAATTTCCACTGTAGGGAAAAGGAAGTGTGGCTCTTATGTTGTTGCCAAACAGCATGAAAAAGAACTAGGACCAGAAGCCTTGCAGCGTGTGTTTGGACAACCACCCACCCAGAAATGAAACACCAAAGGTCCAGTTCCCACCTTCTGAAGGGTCTCCAAAGACAGAGAAAGGGTAAACGTGCTTCATAAGTCACAAAGACTCATAAATCGTTCATTATTTTTTTCTCCTCATAATAGTCAAAGGGTAATTTTTTACAAAGAATATAAATTAAATATGCACACATGGTTAAAAAAGAAAAGCAACTTCATCTAGCGTAAATGGGTATAACACAAAATGTAAGTGGTCCTCTTAGTGTTGCTTCTGTGGTTTCTTCCCCAAAGGAAGCCACTGCCAGCAATTTCTTATTTATATTTCCAAATATTTCCAAGTAGATGCAACATGCATATCTCTCCTCTTCTGCCCTCCACACAGATGGAAGGACATCATCACAGCCTTTCCTTGACCTCAGCTACTTACACATAATCTGTCTTGAAGTTCATTCCCTATAAACCCACCTGGATTACCTCCATTCCGTTGAACTACCACCCAGCATTCCATGATGGGATGTTTAGGCTGCTACAGCTTCCCTGGAATCTGTCTACCTGATGTGTAACTCAGACACGGCCACGGCTACAGTGGATAACACGCAAAAGAGCTTCTGCCGGGGAGCAGAATGAGGACTGTCAGATAGAGCACCCACAGAACCTTTTCCACACCCCAGCAGGGACTCTGTTATTCCTGGTGGAAGGATGGAAATTTGCTCAGAAGATCTGGCCTTTCTGTGAGTGAGCAGGTGAGCATGCTCGTGGTTTGGAAAAGTGTGGGATGGGGGGCAGCTGAAGGGGAGGACTTCGGGGAAGACCATCGGTTAGTTAACTGACTATTCATTCTTCCTCTCCTTACCTATCAGTCTAATGCTGTTGGATACCAATGTGCTAAGTAAAAAATCTACATTCCCAGGCCGGCGCCGTAGCTCAATAGGCTAATCCTCCACCTTGCGGCGCCGGCACACCGGGTTCTAGTCCCGGTCGGGGTGCCGGATTCTGTCCCGGTTGCCCCTCTTCCAGGCCAGCTCTCTGCTATGGCCAGGGAGTGCAGTGGAGGATGGCCCAGGTGCTTGGGCCCTGCACCCCATGGGAGACCAGGAAAAGCACCTGGATCCTGGCTCCTGCCATCGGATCAGCACGGTGCGCCGGCTGCAGCGGCGGCCATTGGAGGGTGAACCAACGGCAAAAGGAAGACCTTTCTCTCTCTGTCTCTCTCTCTCACTGTCCACTCTGCCTGTCAAAAAAAAAAAAAAAAAAAAAATCTACATTCCCTGGCTTTGCTATAGATGAGATGATTGCACTGGGAAAAAAAAACAAAAACAAAAAACAAAAAACAACTCTGGGGTTTATAGACAGTTCTCAGGAGGAGTCTCACTCAGTTTGCAAGTAATGTTCTGTTGTTCCTTGACAGGAGCCAAAGAACTTGTCTTCTGACTCTGAGCACACTCCCAGGATGGTGGGCAGGTGCACAGAGGAGCCTGGGTCCCTGACATCATCTTACAGGTGTCAGTCAGCCCCAAATCGCTCACCTCTGGACTTTTCACTTGGTAAGAGCAAAGTGAACTTATATTTAGACCACTCTGTTGTATGTAGCCAAATTCATCTCTAGATTGCACACAGAATCCTTAATGCACTAAGAAATTAGCCAAATTTATGTTAGAAAAAATAGAATTTTTCAAAGAGCTCCCTCAGGTAGGTGTTCAGAGAGCTGAATGTCTTTAACAAGTTTACTTAGCCCAGCTGCCATTTTTACACCATCCAAGGGCTGCCCATGTCCATGCCAGAGAGCCAATCAGGGCACAGTTTCCCGAAGTTGGAAACCTGCCTCTTTTTTATTTTATTTTTTTTGAAGATTTATTTATTTATTTGGGGCTGGCACCGTGGCTCACTTGGTTAATCCTCTGACTGCAGCGCTGGCATCCCATATGGGCACCGGGTTCTAGTCCCAGTTGCTCTTCTTTCAGTCCCGCTCTCTGCTGTGGCCCCAGAGGGCAGTGGAGGATGGCCCAAGTGCTTGGGCGCCTGCATGCACGTGGCAGACCAGGAAGAAGCACCTGGCTCCTGGCTTCGGATCGGTGCAGCACCGGCCATTAGTGGCCATTTGGGGAATGAACCAATGGAAGGAAGACCTTTCTATCTCTCTCTCTCTCACTGTCTATAACTCTACCTGTCAAATAAAAAAAAAAGATTTATTTATTTATTTGAAAGGCAGAGTTCAGAGAGGGGAAAGGCAGAGGCAGAGAGAAGTCTTCCATCCACTGGTTCACTCCCCAAATGGCAGTATCAGCTGGAGCTAGGCCAGAGCAAAGCCAAGAGCCAGGAGCTTCCTCCGGGTCTCCCATGTGGGTGCAGGGGCCCAGGCACTTGGGCTATCTCCTGCTGCTTTTCCAGGCCATAGCAGGGAGCTGGATTGGAAGTAGAGCAGCTGGGACTTGAACTGGCACCCATATGGGATATCGGCGCTGCAGGCGGAAGCTTAATCTGCTATGCCACGGCACCGGCCCTGGAAACATGCCTCTTAACAGAAGCTTAACACCAAATCCCTAAAGCTACACGATCTACTGGCATAGCTCCCAAGATGAAACCAATCTGCCACTTATATGAAGCTCATTTATTTCGGTTCCAGCTTTATGAGACTCTGTGACAAAATTACAGATCTCACATAACAGTAACTCCCAGCACCTAACTGCACAACACTGGACAAGTCATATTCTTCCAAAGAGCAAGTTTCTTCATTTATGAAATGAAAAACTTAACTAACTAAAAGGGTTGATATGAAGATCATATATGAATATGTGAAAAAATCCTGAGCTGTAAAGTACAGTGAACATACTAATTATTTAGTAACATTATAACGTGTAAAAAGAAGTCTCTGAATTTGATACAGTAAGATTGTCCATGAATTGATAAAGGGTTGAAACCGGTGACAGCGTTCACTGTATTAGTCTATTTGAAATATCCTTGCAGTTTTCTTCTAAAAGATAGATTCTGAAAAGTTCCTTCTCAAAAGGACTGTCTCTTTACTCGCTTTATCTGAACCTTCATCTTCAAAAAGAGAATATGCACATACAATGAGCTCAAACTGTCAAGTTTAGAAATCTCGAGACATATTGCTCAACGTAGATGAAACCTTGCAGGATCTCTGCTACGCTCTCAGCATTCAAGTTACAATGGGCAAAAGTGAATTCAGCTAAGTGCTTCCTAGCTGCCTCCTCTGGCCCATGACCACAGCCATAAATGACCTAATCCTGAGTCAGTACCTCGACCCAGCCCCGTATTTCTATTCTTAACAGTTTGAGGGTGGGTTTGAAGAAGCAACTTTCCTAATTATTAAATCCAGCAATACAAATGCATGAAGGCAAAATCCACCAATGAAAAGCCTCAAGCCACTGAGACTCTAAAAGCATTCTCTTCTTTTAATGTAGATGAGTTTCTCTCAACCTAATTTTTTAAAAGATTTATTTATTTACTTGAAGTACAGAGTAAGAGAGAGAGAGAGAGAGTGAGAGAGTAAGATCTTTCATCTGCTGGTTCACTCCACAAATGGCTACAATAGCTGGAGATGAGCTGATCCAAAGCCAGGAGAGACACTTCCTCCAGGTCTCCCACGTGGGTGCAGGGGCCCAAGGACTTGGGTCATCTTCCACCGCTTTCCCAGGCCATTAGCAGGGAGAGCTGAATGGGAAGCGGAGCAGCTGGGACTTGAACCAGCGCCTATACGGGATGACAGCGCCACAGGTGGCAGCTTTACCTGCTATGTTATGGCGCCAGTTCCCAACCTAATTCTTAAAGACCAAAAACCAGAAAAGACCTTCCATACATACCCCTACAAGAACGTTCTGAGATAGGTAGTGACAGGAATGCATATATTTAACTGTAGGCAACCTAGTGAAGCCTTCTCTAATTGTGCTACAGGGTTTTTTCCCCCAAATAAAAAAAAAATCCCAATGGAACTATTTAATCACTGGAGGGAAAAGCAAAATAAAACAGGGCCCATGCTTCTGCAGGATATTTTATTCTCCTAAGGTTAATGTTATTATTATTATTTATATAATAATATATTATGTTATTATTACAATAATATATTAATTTCATGCTGCAGACACCATGATGCCGTCTCCCATACAATAAACTCTACCTTCAAAATAGTTTGGAAATTAATTTTTTTAAAAAATTATGTATTTATTTATTTGAAAAAGAGAAAGATCCATTCACTGGTTCACTCCTCAAATGCCTCCAACAGTGGGGGCCAGGCCAGATCCCCCACACAGGTGGCAGGTATCTAACCATGTGCTGCCTCCTAGGGTACGTACTAGTAGGAAGCTAAAATTGGAATTAGAGCCAGGATTTAAACCCAGGGGCTCCAACATGGCGTGGGTGCTTACCAAGTGATGTCTGAATTGCTGAGCCAAACACTTGCCCCTGGAAATGCTTTTAAAACTGATTCTTGGGACCGGGGCTGTGGCACAGTGGGTAAAGCTGCCATCTGCAGTGCCTGCATCCCCTGTGGGCACCAGTGGAAGATGGCCCAAGTGCTTGGGCCCCTGCATCGCATGGGAGACCTGGAAGAAGTTCCTAGCTTTGGATCAGCCCAGCTCCAGCCATTGAAGCCATTTGGTGTGTGAACCAGCGGATCCCTCTCTGCCTCTGTTAACTCTGCCTTTCAAATAAATAAATAAAATCCTTAAAACAACAACAACAAAAAACCTGGCTCTTGTATTTTGTCTAAAAGGATTCATATACCAGTGCAGTATAACTGCTCAATATTATTTAAACACATAAAGTCCTGTGTGGCATTTATATTGTGCTTTTTGTTATGAGGGTTGGGAGGCAGTACTTGAAGTTTATGCAGGCAATAACTTTAATTAAAGAGCAAACAGAGGCCGGCGCTGCGGCTCACTAGGCTAATCCTCCGCCTTGCGGCGCAGGCACACCGGGTTCTAGTCCTGGTCGGGGTGCCGGATTCTGTCCTGGTTGCCCCTCTTTCAGGCCAGCTCTCTGCTGTGGCCAGGGAGTGCAGTGGAGGATGGCCCAAGTGCTTGGGCCCTGCACCCCATGGGAGACCAGGATAAGTACCAGGCTCCTGCCATCAGATCAGCGCGGTGCGCTGGCCGCAGCATGCTGGCTGCGACAGCCATTGGAGGGTGAACCAACGGCAAAGGAAGACCTTTCTCTCTGTCTCTCTCTCTCACTGTCCACTCTGCCTGTCAAAAAAAAAAAAAAAAAAAAAAAAAAGCAAACAGAAGCAAGTGGTTAAGGTGCTCACATCCCATACCAGACTACCTGGTTTAGATTCTGGCTCCGGTTCCTAAATCCAGCTTCCTGCTAATGTGGCCTCTGGGACTCAGGTGGTTGGGCCCCTGCTGCCCATGTGAGAGACCGGAATGGAGTTACTGGCTCTTGGCTTGTTGTGGGCACTTGGGGGATATACCAGTAGATGGGAGCTCTGGGTCTTCATTTCTGTTTCTCCATCCCTCTCAAATAAGTACGAATTAAAAAATAAAAGATCAATCATCTTACTTGCTTCAGCTTTCACTTTGTCCATTTCAGCCAGCAATGCCACTTCCCGATCCATTAAACTAGGAAAAGATGACAAAGGGAAAAGAAGGTTTGATCAAAAACTCAAGTGCAGAAACGGCACATTATTAACATTGGGAAAGACTGGTAGATTTGATTACTAAAAGTACATTGCACAAAAATGCTAATGACTCACTTTGAACAAAGACCATTTTACGGATTTCCAGCAAGACAGACAGACTCAATTCTCTTTTATTTCTGTGTTATAGTAGACCAGTTGCCAAAAACCCAGGAGTCAAGCATCAGTAGATGGCAGCAGCAAGCTATGTGAGACATTTCTTAGTAAACTGTTCTAAAGCAAAAGTCGCCTGTAGAAACCACTTATTTCCACATATGCACTCACGTAGTCTTTATATTCTGGTCTATAAAATTTGACAGCCTTTCTTCTAACAAGTTTTTGCCAAGTAATTTCCCTGCTAGGGCACAGGAAATCTATCTGTAACTAGAGTTCCTGCACTGTCAACAGCTCAGCACAGTGGTGCCAGGTCCATGGACACTGTAGTCCTCAGAAAGCAGAGCATCCAGAAGAGACAGACACACCAGGCTGTGCTGGGTTCTGACCAGCATCTAACAGTAATCCAGAAAGGGTGGAATTAAGGTTTCCAGCAGGCTTTTTACAGAAAAAGAACACTAAACAGGCCACTGGAATGTTTTCTAGTGCAAATATAAATGGTTTGTAGGCACATAAAGTTTCCATGTCCTTATAGAAGAGCCCATGTCCTTCAACACCAAAGGAAGTAGTAAAGGGCCAGTGTTGTGGCCCAGTGGGTCGAGCCACAGCCTGCAGCGCCAGCAACCCATACTGGAGTGTCAACCTGAATCTTGGCTATACGGCTTCCCATCCAGCTTCCTGCTAATGTTCCCGGGAGGCAGCAGAAGATGACCCAAGTGCTTGAGCCTCGGCTGTTGGAAGCATTTGGGGAATGAATCAGCAGATGTGGAAAATCTCCTTATTGCTCTTTCAAATAAATGAAGAAATAAATCTTTTAAAATATTTAAGGGGCCAGTGTTGTGGCATAGCAGGTTAAGCCACTGCCTGCTGGTGTCCCAGCTTCTCCACTTCCAATCCAGCTTACTGCTATGGCCTGGGAAAGCAGCAGGGGATGGCTCAAGTACGTGGGCCCCTACACCCATGTGGGAGACCCAGAAGAAGCTCTGGGATCCTGGCTTTGACTTGGAAAACTCCTGACTGTTGTGGCCATTTGGGGAGTGAACCAGTAGATAGAAGATCTCTCTCTCTCTCTCTCTCATTCTGCCTTTCAAATAAGTAAAAAATGAATCAATCTAAAAATATTTTAAAAAATAAATAGGTTACCTCATTGTGCAACTTATGGTTGCAAATAATCTTCCTTTCCATCCATTTCAGTTTGCTTAGTTGTGTGTGTGTGTGTGTGTGTGTGTGTGTGTATAGTTTTAAAGATTTATGGATTTATTTGAAAGTCAGAGTTACACACAGAGAGCAGGAAAGACAGAGAAAGAGAGTGAGGTCTTCCATCCACTGGTTCACTCCTCACATGGTCCCAGTGGCTGGAGCTGTGCCAATCCGAAGCCAGGAGCCAGGAGCTTCTTCCCGGTCTCCCAAGCAGTGCAGGGGCCCAAGGACTTGGGCCATCTTAGTTGGGGATATATAATTTAATTATTATAATTTTAATCTTGAATGAACATGAAATGTTCCAATTCTTGAAATTTGGAGTTCACTGTGATTTATCCTTTTGAATGGGACTATAACTACGGCGTTAGTAAGAGTTCCATTCTTGTTTCTGATTGTAAAAGCAGTCACATACACACAAATTCAATTTAGCTCAATACGCAATTATGTTAGAATAATGCAGTTAATATGGAAACTGTAGTGTGAGGCAAACAAAAATGTGTAAGGCAGGATCATTTCCTCAAAGATCAAAACCCTCTCTAGGGAGCTGCCAGAGAACACAAGTTTGACAATTGCTATGCATGATGTTAATAAACAGACTTACAACTACACAATTTGGACTGGCATATTAATCCCAAAGCACCAGACTGGTGAGAAGATACAACTATTGTGGGGCAGCAGTACTTTGCTAAGAAAGCAGTTCCCAAACCTTGGTAATATTTTGCTCCAAGAACTCTAGCAGCATTTGAAATACCTAAAAGGCAAAACAAAAGCAGAACTGAAACAGGAGCTGCCGGCCTACAGGGTGACGTCACCTCTCTTCTGCGGCCGAGTACCTTAGGATGCAGACACCGTGCCAGCACGTGACAAATTCCGTCTCTGACAAAGCTTGTAAAATATTTATTAAAAGACTTCAACAAATAAGGAAGCTCTCTACAGCTAGCCATCTCTTATGAAAATCAAATGACATATCTAGCATGGAAATAACGCTCTGCACCACCACAGACTTCTTTTTTTTTTTTTTTTTTTTGGACAGGCAGAGTGGACAGTGAGAGAGAGACAGAGAGAGAAAGGTCTTCCTTTGCCGTTGGTTCACCCTCCAATGGCCGCCGCTGCAGCCGGCGCACCGCGCTGATCCGATGGCAGGAACCAGGATCCAGGTGCTTTTCCTGGTCTCCCATGGGGTGCAGGGCCCAAGCACCTGGGCCATCCTCCACTGCACTCCCTAGCCATAGCAGAGAGCTGGCCTGGAAGAGGGGCAACCGGGACAGAATCCGGCGCCCCAACCGGGACTAGAACCTGGTGTGCCAGCGCCGCAAGGTGGAGGATTAGCCTATTGAGCCACGGCGCCGGCCATCCACCACAGACTTCTCTGTAGCAACGTGAGCTGGCACGCTGTGACATTCCCCCCGTGAGAATGACTACATCTATATAAACCATCTCTGTTTCTTGGCTGACTCACTGGTGACCACAAAACGTTCCCAGGGCAGTGCATGGACAACTATGTGACTCCTCCATTCAAAAATCTAAGTTTGCATTTTCATGCCAGAACAATAAGCAGGTGAGTTCTGCGCTGTGAATGTGTGTGTCAGGTTGCCATCTACCCAAAGTGTCTACTACAGGGTCCTGTGATGTCAGCTCCTTAGATGGGGGAAGCTGGTTAACTGAGACTGTTGGGATACTTTCTTGAAGAAAAACTCAGTTAAATTCTATAATTTCCCATTAAGATGTTAAAATGAATAAATGTTAAACTATTGTAATAATAACTTTTTCACTGAAAGTACATTGTATTGTGATGTTATCATTGACATAGCCATACAATCACCTTACAGAACTATGATATATTTTTAGGTTATTCATGTGCAAACACAGCATTTAGGGGTGATGTATTACTATGTCTGCAACTTCTAAATGGCTAAACCAGCACACAGACACACACACACACACATGTGCACACACACACTTATAATAAAAAGTTGGGAAAATGTGTGCATCACAAGATAAATGGAGAAAACGGCAAGGTTCGAAAGGGAAAAGTAGATTAGGTATAAGGATAGTGTCAGAGACATTTTTTACAATTGAAAATAATAATTGATTGTAACACAGCTTTCTAACAAAAAACTTAAGCTAAAATTTTCCATATTCTCCTGAGCTACATGATAGTCCCAGTCTACACTGGCCAAGAGGTTCAAAGGCACCTATGGTTGAAGCTGTGGTTCTCAATGCCATACCTGTGAGCAGTGAGCCCTCTCAGGGAAGGGTAAAGGCTCACTGGGATGGTCAGACCCTGTCTGTCTCCTCACTTACCCCAAACCTTCAGACACTCAGCTCTTCTCAAGGCTTTCCTGAATGGATAGGCACCATAGCTAGCATCTGGTACTGCTAATGACATTCGCCAAACACTGCTAGAATCCCGTTTGAAGATACTATGAAACCTGGCCTTGATCAGCACAGGGAATTTCCACCTCCCTTCTTCAGTCATGAAAGATGGTTTTCAGTGTCTGACCACATTCCTAAGGGAACAGGCTGGCAGCGGGACAGCAGCATCTCCCTTCCTCCAAAGCCATACCTGCTCATCTTATTCTAAAGCCTCTGCATAATGTAGTTGTCAGAACAGCTCTTCCTACAGCTTTACCATTCACATCCCCAACATATACTGTGTCCATCATTTGGAGCAAATCCTTTAATTAATATGTTTAACACGCAGCTATTGATTCCAGCTCTTGCCTTCAGTAATTCCTTGTTAAAAAATTGTAAATTATCATTTGTGTATGGCTGATGCAGTCAAAAAATATTTTTTTTTTTTTTTTGACAGGCAGAGTGGACAGAGAGAGAGACAGAGAGAGAAAGGTCTTCCTTTGCCGTTGGTTCACCCTCCAATGGCCGCCGCTGCAGCCGGCGCACCGCGCTGATCCGATGGCAGGAGCCAGGATCCAGGTGCTTTTCCTGGTCTCCCATGGGGTGCAGGGCCCAAGCACCTGGGCCATCCTCCACTGCACTCCCTGGCCATAGCAGAGAGCTGGCCTGGAAGAGGGGCAACCGGGACAGAATCCGGCGCCCCGACCGGGACTAGAACCCGGTGTGCCGGCGCCGCAAGGTGGAGGATTAGCCTATTGAGCCACGGCGCCGGCCTTCAAAAAATATTATAATAAAAAAACCTAGCAATTGTACAGTCAATTATTTCAAGGGACAATACTCTAAACCACTCAATAATGTTCTTAGGAAACATTTGTATTTGATTTTACTTGCTTAAAACCTAAAATCTACTTATTCTAATTCCATTAGCCAAGCAAGGCAGAAATTCAAGCAAAGCCAATGCAAATGCCCTTTTTTCCCCCTTTGAAGATGCTTTCCTTTTCCCATATAAAATAACCAAAAGAGGGGTTGATGTTGAGGCTCAATGGGTTAACCATGTCTGCATCGCTGGCATCCCTTGTGGGTTCCACTTCCAGTCTAGCTCCCTGCTAATGCGCCTGGGAAAAGCAGTGGAAGATGGCCCAAGTACTTGAAACCCTGACACCCACGTGGGAGACCTGGAGAAAGCTCCTGGCTCCCAGCTTCCGTCTGGCCCAGCCCTGGCTGTTGAAGCCATTTGGGGAATGAACCACTGGATGGAGATCTTTCTTTCTCTTT